CATTTGAGAATATTCCTTTTTTTGATGGAACAAGAATTTAGAGTTCTACTAGTGGCACTGGAAAAAAAAGAATTTTTATTGTGTAACAGCGATATGTGATGATTAAACTTTGTTAAAAGTATAAACTGTGTCGAGCAAACTTTCTAGCTCTCAAATCTTCTCAGATAAATGCAAAAACTATGTCAAAAACGAAATATTTTTATGTTCGGATAAACCACCTTGCTATTCTACTGCCGATCAGGATGAAAAATATTGTTCTGTGTCTCGCTCTGCTCCACATATTATGTTGAAGAGCAAAACAATACTATATAATTCTGTTTATTTGAAATATCTTTCAGATTGTCAAACATAAAACTATAAATACTATTTTAAGTAGCATTATTAAAAAAAAATCTGTAGAAGTTGTGTTTTCAATCTCTTATAAGTGATATTGTAACTCCAAATAAGAAGAAAAGTGACGTCAATGGTTTAAGTAGATAAAAAAAAATATGAAATCCATTGTTTATTTGTCAATTTAATTTTCTTGTACGATACACAACAGTTTTTCATAATAGATAGAAGAAATCTTTCTCTATGAGTCTGCATAAATCCTATTTTCTGATCAAAAATTACTATGTACTTGATAATTGATTTTGTATTAAAACAAAGAAACTTATTAACGTTTTTTTTTAGAGATGTTCGACCCGATTCCAAATATACGGCACGAAAACGACCAAAAGCTTTTTGAAATTTTTCTTGTTTTTTATTGTCATCAATAGTATTGTTTTGACAAAGGAAAAAAGAAGAAAAAATAATAATATGATTGATTCACACGATTGTGAATTTAATTATAAATAAGATTGATTAATCTATTGACATATTAAAAGGTTTCGTTGAACGAGAAACAATTAATGATTGTCCAAAGAATGAAAACCAATTGTAATCTCGATTGAACATGAAACTGAAAGCGACACGAAATATGGTAATTAAAATTAACTACAAAAGAAAAAAGCATATACGCAATAAATAATCCAAAAGAAAAATTGCATGAGAAATGACAAAAAACCAATAGTGACATCCCATGTCATCATATCCTTTTAATACCGACTTGAAATAATTCTTTTTTTTTTCTTTTTCGACATAAATGACTGATAAAATATTGCACTAAGAGTTCTATTTTTAACTAGAAATATAATGATATTTTATTATCAATTTTTGTAATATTATTTAATTCACATAAATAGAAAATTTTAAAATACACTAAATCAAAGTTTTCTACCTAAACAATATCATATATTGTCAGATTTGAATAAAAACAAACGTTCAATTTATCGACAATAAATAAATTTCAAATATTATATATGAATAGTGTACTGCGAATATGAATCAATGAAAGTCATAAAAAACATGACTTTTTAGGATCAAGTACAAGTTTCATCGGGAGTGAAATGTCACATGGATAAATTATCTTCAAATATATTAATGACTATAACTTATTCTATTATATTCCAAATAGATCTCTGAAATTTGAAACTAATTGAGATCAATAAAATATCATTATGTATAATCCTTATATTGTATTACATCAGAACAGATGACGAATGAAATAAAATTTTAAAGTAATATTAGAATTTCATAGACAAGAAATGCTTAGTGATATCTTAGTACTTCATCACATTTTTTCTCAAACAATAGTTGACAAATGTTCTGATGCTCGTCGTAGATAATACAACAAATTAGAGTTCGGTTCATAAAAGATATAAAAACAAAGATATAACAAGAATTGACCTGTATGCTTTTTAGTACAAAAAAAGGATCATTTTCGAATGTGTAGTTATCTTCTTTTAATACTAGATGAGGTTGCTTTATTGTTCATAGTACAAAACATCAGATGAGATGAAGTTTTTTTGTTAATAACCTGTCTAAGGGGTTATTTTTATGAAATCATAAATCGTTAGATTTTTTTGATTATTATTATTATTATTATTTAATATAATCAAGATGACCGTATAATACAAATATTCATTTTCTTATCCTGATTTTGGTCATTGACAAAAGTAAGTAGCTTATTCTGTAATATGTGTCATATTAGTTAGAAATATGATTAAGTTATTCAATAGAAAATTTTTGACATAAGATGTGAATCCTTGTTGTTGTTTTTTTTTATTCTACAAATTAAATTTTACTTTCATCAAATTATAATCGATTAGTTATGTATATTTTATGTCAATGATCGACATTTGGTAGAAAACATAAAATAATATTAATTATTATTTTAAGAACATTTGAAAATTGATACATTAAATTCATAGGAAAAATTTTATTCTATAAACTATATATAGATTAATTAGAAATCTTTATAGTATTAAGCTTATGTCAGATTGAAATCAGACATACTGTCAATTAAATATAATTAATAAAAAGATCAACAGAAAAACAAAATATTTCTTTTACTGCGAATATACTTTTATTCTTTTTCTAGAATTTTCTTCTGCAAAACATATAAAACGTTAGTGTCAAGCATTAGAGATTATCACTTTTTTTTTTTAGCGTAAGTTATCTGTAATGTGTGTGGTATTCACACTATTTATGAGTAAGAAAAAGAAAGAAGTTGTTCAGCAATGAAATCGACCCTCTCATGAACTTGAGTTTCTTATTGCTCTAATAGTCAATTAGAATGCCAGAAATCAATTAACGTTCGAAATAGATGGTTAGACTTCATTCTGGCTGCATCGAACTGACTCAAAACGCGATATTAAAGATCTCATGTAGCTTTATGCAATGTAGTGTTTGTAGGGAAAGTTTGTCTGCCTTCTTCAGCTTCTTTAATTTGACTTAAATATCAAATGAAAGCTCTTCCTTTCCTATATCAAATCGCATATATTAGTATGAGAAAATATCCTTCTTTTCCTTTTTCTTAAGGCGATGTTGTTTCTCGTATATATAGTATGAGGAGAACTATGGTCAAACTTCTTACCCATATAGCCGTGAAAGCTGCAATGCACTTCGAACTATATATCATTTGATAGGCTTTTTAAACCTTTATAAAATGATACTATTACGCGTTGATTTTAATCTATGGGCGAGACATTTTAGTTAAACATAGAAGATTCACGAGTACACTAAAGTTACCCTTTTTGATTAATACTTAATCGATTTTGGACTTAACAATCAGGTTTTCTATCGAAACAAATGATACATTTCGAATCAGCATAAAAAACTGAGTTGTCGATCTATATGCGTCATAAAATTCTCTGACAACTTTTATTTTTATCCCAAACGCTCAAACGTGGTTTCCCATAGCGTGTTAAAGTCAACAAATAAAGTCAGTCAAAATGCCAGTTTTGACTATCAAAGATTACTTCTAAATTTTTTAAACATTAGGGAAAATCCAAAATGATATATGAATAGATAATAAAAACGATGTTTCGACTGACTTTGTTGTGGTTGTTACGGTAATCTTAATACGAGGGCCAAAGCTAAATTTTTACATGAAAATAAAAGTTGTCGAAGAGTTTTGTGATACATATAGGTGGACTTAGTTTTTTCATGTTGACTCCAAATATATCATTTGTTTTGATAAGAAGCTTATCTAGTTCGACTGAAACTGATCATATATTAACGACAAAGGGTAACTGACGACAACTATGAACATTGCATATGTGACTAAAATGACTTACATACTAATTAAGCTCACCACGTAATAGTATCATTTTCTAGAACTATGAAAAATCTATTGAATGATACATCATTCAAAGTGAATCGTAGCTTTCGTAGATCAATACGTGCAGAATTTCATCATGGCTACCCTCATACTGTATCAAAGGTTTTGATTGGTTTTACAGGTGAGAGTGTCTGAAAACTCGGTAGAAAGTCTCTTCATTCATCTTTCTAGCAGAAATCGAACAGTAGATGCTGAAATCATGGACTTTCTATAGTACTTTGCCTGAGAGACAACTTTTTCATATGCATATGTGTTAGAAGCAGAGCTAAAATCTCCTTTCTGACACAATTTTTCACGAAACTGTGGAAAGTAGGACGGAACAGTATCATGAAAAGAGAAAAGGAAAAAAAATAATATTTCGTCATGCTGATGCGTACAACTACACAGAGGAAGGAACGAGCGTTCATTTTGATTGAAGGACCCGAATAAGAAAAATAAACTTTTCATATAAACACTGTATTAGACCAATAATAGCAAATTTTGAGTCAGTCAGACACAGTTAGAGTGAGATCTATCTGTCTAATTGAAACGACGATTGACTTTCGGCATTCGAATATTCTTTTGAGGAAATAAAGAACTCGGTTTAGTGAGAGGATGAATGTCATTGCTTGACAATTCTCTCCTTATTCTTTGTTAATAGTGAAAACAGGATGAATAAATAGGTCGTTTTTATATGAGTTCGGACAATAAATCAAATTTTATCGTGTAAAATGATTATTATGCTTGAATGTTCTTGTCTTGTCTTTTTGTTCGATATGTCTATAAAGAATGTGACAATTTGCATAGAGAATATACTCCTCACGTCTATCATTTCTTTTTATTTTCTATCAAAATCATAACAGCTTTCTATTGTCTATTTGATTGAAGATCTCTCATATATTATTAGATTTCTCTTCTGTCAACAACAAACAATACAATGAATTCGGATGTTTAACTAGTATATAGTCAGCACACTGCATGAAGCTGATCACTTCGTTTATTGGAATGTTCTTAATCTGGCATTGCGTGTAGTGGGCGTGCTTTTCAATATTAGTAGACATGCATATAGGAATGATTTGATCATAGTTTGTATGAATAAGAGACATTGTCTATGTGTCCTTTCAATGAATATTATAACAAGCTGACAGAACCGAAAGACAGACAAAAAGAGAAGTCTTATTTATTGAACTCTACATCTTTTTTAGATTATTGATATAAATCCTGAAAAACTACAAACAAATCAAACCAGGTTAGAAATATAATTAATTTATAAATAAAACTGAATATTTTTCATTATAAAAGAATTTTATTAATCATCATGAACAAGCAATTTTGTCAGTATTCGACTCTAACTCTTCTTCTTTTAAGTTTCCACTGTTATGCATCACCTGTTCCATTTGTTGATCAAAGTCAACATTATGAACCATCAGTTTTATCAACGAAAATTGATGAACAAACAGAAAGTATGAAACCAATAGTTTCAAATACACGTAATTATCTATCATCAAAAAATAAAAATAATCATTAAATGAATTCTATCATTTAGATATCTTATGTTCACTTTATGGCATTTGTAATGATGATGATCATTCAGAAGACATCAGTGATGACGATATAAAATACAAACGTCTATCAGCTAATTTATTTCATGGTATTCCAAAATTTGGCAAGCGTGCATTTTCATCAGCATTTGCTGGTATACCCAAATTTGGTTAAATCTGATGACGATTTTTTAAAAATATAAAAACAAAAACAACCATTATGGATACATGAATTTCTTTTTTTTTTCTTTTCAACAACAAAATGTTTGTCAACACAGTAGAAATATAATGTCCTTTTTCAATAATACTAAATGATTTTGTACCATTTGATCTATCTTAATGCTTCGTAGAAGATATTTTTCTTTTTCTTCAGAAATATCAATTTGTAATATTAACTCATATTTATCCTTAAACAAGAATGTAGATATGCATTTGATATTTTTTTCCTCACAACATTGATATCTTTTTACATATATATATATATATAATTTCGTTGATAGAGAAACTAAATTTATAACATTATTATTTTCTCATATAAAATCCAAAAAAAGAAAAAAGGTTTTTAACGAAGCCCTTTTAGAACTAAACTGTGAAACTCACATACGTTCTTTAGTCTCGTTAAACTAATACAAAATAGATGAAGTGAAAAATCCCTTATAGATTATAGGTCTGTTCGAAGATAATCGATCAGCAAAGTAAAGATTAGTGTTATTTACTTCTAGATTATGAACAAAAATCTTTCCTTTTTTTACGAATGCCCTATTAGGTTTTTTTTCCATCGGTTCTATTTGTTCGTTATTTTTCATAATCTAACATTGTTATCATTAACAGTATTGAATTAAATGGCGTATAAGATTATTCGTAAATATCCGTTATATCTAAAACGGTAGCTCTTAACGCACTATAATATATCTCCATCAACACAAAAAAACTGATATTAATTATGTTTTAAGACTAAAACGTGATCAATTCACATTTTATGTTGATCAAATGACAACTGTGGTATGAGGAAGAGGAGGAAATCCTGATTTCCAGAGTCTCTAATGCGAAAGTGAATCCATAAAACTTCGACTTATGACTTACACTCACTCTTTCATTTAAAAATATATGTGAGTTGCACAAAATTAATATCTCAATGGAAATTTGAGCATTATTCTTGTCGGTTAAAGTTATGTTACAGATTTTTTTTTGTAAAAGAAAAAGTTAAGGTGAAGAATAGAAATAATTTCGGTACGCATTATTTATTTTTAACTCTTTAATAGCGCAGTCGAAAAATAGTAAGGCAAGTCTTTTTAATATTTGTTATATTCTGAGATATAGTGAGTGTCAAAATAATTCAACAAGGTTTATTTTCAAATTTTTTGCATTGCCGTAAGTATTAGAAAGAATTCAAATACTGATTCGAATACAGAATATTGTTTATAAAAGGAATGTAAGGACATAGAAATTCGTATCATGGTCTCAAAAATAGACACCTCAAAAAGTCAGAACGCTAGTGTGCGTTTAAATATAACTTTGCTTAGACTACATAGAACGATAGAATCAACAATTCTCTACTAAATGAGACGACTCCGAGTTCTTTGCGAAACTTTTGAACTAAGACACATCTATATTATAGAAGTCTTGAAAGTAGTTTTGTCCAATTTCTCATGGCAAAAACGTTTTTTTGACCTTCAATCAAATTGCTACATCTCAACCATATTAGACCTTTAGTTTTCTGGAATTTCTATATTTGTAAGTATGATAATAAATATAAAATAGGACAAAATGTTTTTCTGTCTTCTTACAAGCATTTTTAAATATAGAATATGCTCTATTTTAAATTGATTCGATAGAAAATTGTTTCCATCAAAAAGTTGTGAATTTTGTTTTTTTGAAGAACTTTTTCTTATCAACATAAAAGTGAAAAGATTATTACCTACTCAATTGTCAAACTGCGACATTTAGAGAAGATAATAATTAAGAAACCGTTGTTGATAATAGTTTTGCTGAACTTTTCAAATATTCTAGAATATTCTCGATAAAATTTTGCATCTCTCTATGTATGTCTTAGAATTTTAAAAAAAAATTTTTAAATAAAAAAATTTCTTTTGCAAGAAAAATTTTGTTACTGTTCAGTTTTAGCATCCAAAGTGAGGGACATATTAATCGAAAGATATTTCCATTAAAAAAAAAAAGATTACATTTGACAATGGAGTAGATAAAAATCTTTTTAAATTTAGGTCTGTAAGAAAAAAAAAAACTTGTAAAAACAAAGTTAACAGCGTTGTGATGTAAACAATCTTCTATCGAATGATCCTAAAACAGAGTTTTTACTATATTAGAAAACGTTTTAAAGACAGAGAAAAACGTTTTGTCTCGTTCAATATGCACCACTTGTTAGAAGCAGTCTAGATTTTGATGATCAATACTTATCTCAATAGATTAAATCAACCAGTTTAAAATCAGTACTATGACCACTTATAAATACTCTGATTTGATTGTAATCAACATCTAACAACGTTTCTTGCATAAGTTTATCTAATAAAAGCAGCAAAATAAATAAGTAAGATCGATCAGTCTGGAACGCATACTATGAGTGTCTCTTTATTGTTATTGCTCTTTATAATAAAGAACGAATAATAAAGAAATTTTTACCGAATAGCTATCAAAAAACTTATGACATCATAAGTTTCATATAAAATATATAGAAAATTTTTTTCCGTAGACTTTTTTCATGCATCAATTTTATTTTTTACTAATACTACATTATCGAAGTGATGCTGATTATAAGAAATAATATTGATTAACATATTCTATTGTAGTATTAGTTATTTGTCTATTTATCTATCATAACAAGAAATCTTTATTTTCTGTTTTTTATAAACGTAAAGATTGTATTATTATTAATCTTATAAAATAAAAATAAAGTAACACGCATAATCTACATAACAATGGTATTCAAAACATCTAATAACAACTAACAAAAATTATAACTAAAGCACAGATCATTTTTAATCTTAACATTCATCATCATAATGTTTATTTATGAAATATTTTTAACGGTAATTAATGAATTTTAACATAACGAATGTTGACCAAAGAAAATTTTCTATATCAAATGACAACAAGTTCTCTTCACTATCTATTCCTATGTGATAACTACTACTGCTATACCGATCATTATAATGTGCGCTGTAGCATCGGTTTTGTTTTTGAAAATGTTATATCCTGGTCAGAGTCCATCAGATTGGTTCCGAATCCAACGAGCTCGAATCATGATCTGTTGTATCAAAACGGATGAATATTTTCGAAGTCTCTTAAAACTGAGAGAATTGTGCGACTTTCATGATGTTGATGCGTCACAGCCGTCTGTATTATGTACAGAATCCAAATTGGTCCTAGTCATGAACCAAATTTTCTAATAGATGGTGCTGAAAATAAAACATTTTATTAGTAAAATATATTTTGAAACTGTTTTCTTCTTAATTAATTCAAATTCTTTCTAATAAATAATTGAAATTTTGCTAGAAAATATTCTCTGCAATCATTTATAACTGGAAGCAAAAGTCGTATGTGCAACTAACGGTAATATGAACATATGTACAATATGGATTGTTGTTCAAATGTTTGAAAAATTATAATTAACTGAATTTCCTTTTTACTTATTAATTTAACATGCTCGAGAATCATTAAACAATGATTTTGCGTGTATTTTGCTGTTATACAAAATATAGAGAAGAAGAAAAAAAAAAAGCAAAGAAAAGAAAAGAAAAAAAGAACAAAACAAGCAAAACTGTACATAAGAAGAAAAGAAGAAAAAAAAACGAAAACACATATCTGACAATGAATAGTCGTAAACAAAGAAAAGAAAAACATTTTGTATATAATTAAATTTAATTTCATACACCAAAATTTGTTTGTCCAATCCATGAATTATCATTTGTAGTAAATAATGGTTGACTTTCATGTTTTACTTTAGAAAAAAGTGTTGAATGACCTTGATAATAATGTGATTGTTGTTGTTGTTGTTGATGGTGATGATGATGATGATGATGATAATCATATTGTGATGCTAATTGTTTAATAGGTGGTGACGGTGCATAATAATTATTATAAAAATGATGATGAGGATTTGATGTTTCATAAGAAAATAATAAATTATCAGGTGTACAACCATTTGCATAATTTGTTGATGGTACTGGCATTGTTTGTGATAATGGTGGTGGTGATGATAAATCAAGATTCGATTGTTGATGATGTTCAGATGAACAGGCAGCTGCTTCAGATATTGTTGGAGAAGTTCGTCCTGGAAAAACCAAATAAGAAAAAAAAAAGATACAAATAAAAATAATAACAAAAAAAAAGAAAACATACGGCTGTTCTTATTAAGAAGTGTAACATCAATTGTTTTAGGTGATTTATCTTTTTTTGATTTACGTTTACGAGTTTGAATACCATCTTTCTTTAATGTCATTGGTCGATTAACCTATAAAAAGAAAAACAATTTTTAGTCGAAGAAAATTTTCAAGTGACGAATCAAAATATTTACTCCATGTAATTTATAATAAAGACCACAAGCATTACAAACACTTTCTCCACTTGCATTTCGTCTCCATAATGTTGTATCTGTTGTACAACAATTTGCACATTGATTCCCTGAACGATGAAGTGTACCCTTTACAAAAAAAAGAATGTTATTTATAAAAAAAAAGACATTAATTTTTTTTTTTCAAAAAAAATATATCTACACTCTTTCGAATAGATCGATCATTTGTATTAGTTCCTGTTGTATATAATGTTGAATTTGTTGGAATTTTATGCGTACGAGACGAATAAATACCACATTTATTACATAAATTAAAACCACTACCATCTTTACTCCAACGTGTATTTTGTGGTGATGCTGCTGCACCACAATTAACACATTCACGTGGTTCATCAAATGGATAACAATAAGCTATAATAAGAAGAAAAAAGAATCATGTCTTTTTTTTTTAGTTTTCTAATAGAAAATTTTCAATTATTAATTTACGATTATAAGTATTTGCTGGATCATTTAATTTATTTGTTGCTGCTTGAGCAAGTAAAAGTGAATTCATTTTTGTTGAATAACAATTCATATAAAGATCATCAGCATAACGTGATACAGCCATAGCTGCAACTGAATATGGTTCAGGAGAAAATAAATCAGTATTAGCCAATGGATGCGAACCATTTCCTGTACTAACTGGTATTGCTATTGATGATGATGATGTTGATGGTATAGGCCAGACAGGTGATGAATGATTGCTTTCAATAGTTGATCCATCTTGACCATTGTTATTATTATTATTAGTAGTAGTATTATTTGTCGTTGTTGTCGTCGGATTTAATGAAAATGTTGAAGATGAACCATCATCTGTATGATTTCCATAAACTTGAGGATGCATATTAAAATCTAAAATGAATTGTGTTGATGTTTTTGGTCACATATAGATGTATATATATATATTCATTCCACTTTCAACATAGTACTATTGTATCGTATGAATAGCCTTGAGGGTTCAAAATATGATTGCAACAGACTGGTATTACTACTGGTGACTGATAAGAAGGGAGGTCATTCAATATGAATTGGCACATGGCTGAATGTCAGTATTCAACTGATAAGACCAATACAAAAAGAAAAAAAAAATGGTTAACAACGAACATCGATTAGGCCGTCAAAACATGGAACCTTCTCATATGACCTTAGACATCCATTGACATTTATATTTGATATAAAAAAAGAAACAAGACCGATTACCTTGATGGATAGTAATAATGAAGTTGTAGATGTCCGATCGATAGTTCTTTTCTGTTCTTTTCTTTCTTATATGTATTTTTTTTTATCAAAACAAAAAAAAAGAAGAAAAACTACGATGATTTGTGTTATCACAATCGTACCAATATACTGCCGATATTAGAAGATAAAGATCTGCGTCGATCTCTCAGCAGTATGCCGGGCCGTTATCTTCGAATGATTGTGCTTATGGTAGTGTAGTGTATATAGTAAGAAAAAGAAAAAAAAACTGTACAAGTGTATTCTATATAGAGAAGAAGAAAAAAAGCCAAGTGAGAGAGAAAATTAATCGACATTTATTAACCAATAGGCCATTTATTTTCTTGTCTTGTTTTTCTATTGGTTAAGAAAGAATAAGAAAAAAAAAAAAAACATACATACACATACAATGTTGAAATCTATCATTATGTTCGTCTATACATGCTCTCAAGAAAAGATCAAATAGAAATGATGTGCATTTGTGCATGTGAGGAAAAAAAAAGAAAGCGGTAATAACGGATGGCAATACAGTGAAGATGCTAGTGGAAAACGAACAAACTGGAATAAAAGAAAATAGATAAGAACAAGTGAAAAATCTAGATTCTACATATGCATGTGCACACAATCAGTGTATGTGTGTTTTGAGACAAAACGGCGATGTGCCTCTCGGGCGCTATGCACGAGCGAAAACGGACTAAAGATAGGTAGGAATGAGTATATTATTTATGTATCTCTAAAATTCATCAGGGATATTATAATCATGATCTTTTTGTTTTTTTTTTTGTTCTTATTTTTTAAAATTAAGAAATATAACATTAATTATAACATTTACAAAATCTAATATAAAATTCTTCTAATAATTATTTTCTATTTCGATAGGGCGGAAAGAGCAAAAGCTCTTGTATTATTATCGATTATCATATACAATTTTGTCACCATCAAGTCTTCAAAGAATCAATTCAGTTTATTTCAGTGCCAATGATTATTCATAATAGAAAGCTTTTTTTTTTGCTTCGATGTTTCCAAGAATCACATTTCACACACATACATATAAGTGTTGATGGTCGGTCACAGCATGAGTTCTCTACATTAATATTATACCTGTGATGATCACTTTTTTTTTTCTTTTGCTTCTATGGTGATGAGACATAGACTAGAGTGACGATCAAAAGATGAACATAGTGACATGGGTAATTATAATGTATAGATATGATACGAAAATTTTTCTTTATTGTTCAAATAGATTTTATGCGGCACGTGTTTTTCAAACATAAATTGACTTAAACCAAGTCTAATATTCTTAGGTTTCTTTTTTTTTGTATTTCAATCATCGATACATCACTAATCCAGATGTTAAATCGTTTTAAAAAAAAAAAGAAATATGTGATGATTTTGTTTTATATTTCGTTATACATAATGCGATAAGCGTATGACTATGAGCAAGTGTCGAGAGAAATGAGAATAATGAACGACAACGATTGATTTCTGTCTGATGCACATATACACACACACACATTCATACATACGGGAATAGATATAGACAGTTAAACCTACGCACACTTGTTGTGTTTTTTCTAGCCTTAATTTTCTTTTAGCCATCATCATTGCTACTTAATTGACAGCATAATGACTTTTCAACAACATGCGGAGGTTGAAAATAAGAAACATATAGAATTCATAAAGTTTATCTATATATACATATATATATATATGTTTTGAAAAAAATAAATAATTGATTAAAATAGTTGTTTGTTATTATTAGAAAGTAATATAGTACTGATTTTTATCTCTAATTCGTTATGTGCCGTTTTCTTATTGTTTTGTTTATTTAAAAAAGATATTGAAAAAATAGAAAAAGAATTAAATAAAATATTTATTTTGAAAGAATTTCAATAAGTTTTCTTATCATACAAATGATTTGCTTGGTAAACAATATATTGAGCAATCAAAGTTGTTGTTATTCTTGCCGTTCTCATCTATGTATATAAGTGTCTAAAGATCATACACATTGCTCTTCTAATAAAGCGCTTATACACTTGCCTTTTGTAGAATGCATATAGACAAACGACGGGAAAAACGAGAGAGAGAGAGAGAAAAAAACCGATAGATAAGATAACAGAAAGACGCGCCTAGATGGGATGTAGACTGATATGAGATGAATAAGAGTAGGGGAAATAATTGCACATGTTAGGTTTTACATACAAAAAAAAAAAGCAAGAAAGTATCTATAAAATCAGAATTCTTCTTTTGCATTTGTAAAACAGCTTGAGGGGCTTTTTTTTTTCTATTAAACATTTGATATTGCAATCAACTCGTCAATAATAATGTTAATGATGATTCCTTAAATGGATAAATTATGTACATAGAACGATGATAAATTGAAATTCGTTCCTTATCACTCATCAAACTTATTCAATATGGACATCATGGTACTTTACTCTGTATACGTATATACATATAAACGTGCAATCGAATACCCCCTACTGTCCATCATCATGGTGAACAGCAGCTTCGATTATTCATCATGCCATCTTAATATTAGGTCATTTAGGACGAAGGCACTGTTCCAGTTCAACTACCATCATATTGAAACAGTAGAACTTATGTCAGAGGACACACGACGACTCAACTTTCGACTTGTCTTAATATGATAGTTTATATTGAGAAGTATATATCAATAAAAAAGAAAAAAAAGGATAGTTTGGCTTGTCGCTCAAAAACTAAATTTGATTGATTATGACAATCAATATAAATGATTTACTGACTAAGACGAAAGATAATAATTGAACAATAGGTGTGAAAATATTCATAGAACAATCATTATTAAGTTTTACGATGGAAAGATAAAGTTAAAATTTATCTTCTAGAAAACTTTAACAAATAAGTCAATTTATCAAAGAATAATTTTGAAAATTTTCATTTCAAACTAATAATAACTGTTATGTGCAAAATGTACATGATTGCTCTATATTATGCAACAGATGTATAAACAAACATACAATAATTATTATACTTTGACTTTTGAATTACTTCGAATCACTATTAAAAATATCTCGTGATTTTTCCAAATGGTGTTGTCATTTTTTCGAATAAATTTGGATTTATAAAATAATTCCTTAAAGTATTTTAATCAAATTATATAAAAATCTCAGTATGAACAAGATTCTGAATATAGTATTGGAAATCTTCATGAAAATTTTTCCTTCATTTTTGGATCATAAGAAACTATCAATAAAATATAAGAAAAAAACTTTCCATCTCAACTTACGACTGGTTTACTGAGTATTTGGTCTGTTGCAAAGTATTTTGATCTGATATTCAGCTCATAGAAAAAGTCTTTGAATCATTCGAATGTTTCATAAATTTAAGCTCAAACCAATGTGTTTATACTAATCATTTTGATGCTTTTTGCTAGGATTAATATTAGGTCAAAAATATGCTATTCGAATGTTTGCAAAATAATTTACAACAAGTCAAACGCTTCTACTGATGATTGAAAAAAATGGAGTGCGAGTTGCTTAAATATCTAAGTATATTTTCTCATAAATGGTTGTTATCAAAAGTCACAGATCAAGTGAAATAAAACTTGATGTATAAATTAATCTATGATTGTTTTGTATATTGATTCGTATATTTAACAGACATATGTTTTCCTATAAGATTTATTTTATATTGAATATTTTACGGTAATAAATACTTTTCTGTTCTTGTTATTTTATTTTAATCACAAATAGATAACTAACTACTTGTTTTATTTCTCTATTAGTATTTTGACTCATTGTTTGATTGTTTTGTTATTGATTTTTATGATAAAAACGCCTGTCTAGTGACGATATATATTAAGAATACAATCTATTTTTAACCAATTGATTTCAAAAGCAATGTCATAAATCAGTTAATATATCAATGATTGTGCGGTTTAATGATAGTTTAGTAGTTTTTAACAATTGATTTACTTTCAAAAAAAAAACTTTTAATAGATTGCAATATTTATTTCAATATGACATTTCACTCTTTTATTTATAGTTATAATTGAAATTATATTCAAATGTCATGTTTTACATCAATATACATTTAATTATCGGTCATGTTCTTTTATTTTTAAAGTTCGATATTAAACATTTGGTTTTTTCGCAACAAGAAATATTAAATGTTTCAATTTTTCTTCCTGATTTGTTTTTCTCAGTATAATACCAACTTTGTATTTAATTCAATTAAGAATTTTTTTGTAAATATAAGACAGGCAATAAACTTAGATAGAAAACTATTTTGAATATATTTTCAGATTCCGTGAGTTCTGAACTCAAGACTTTGTTGAAATACAGACTAGTGCATAAATAATGAACTGTCCAGTATCTTGACTGTATCTTTTTCTTCTTTTCAACTCTTAGATCTGAATAGTTTTTCGAGAAATATCGTCGAATTCTCTACAAAAAAAATTAATTAGACTTTATTTCTATAAAAATTTTCGGAGACAAATAAACAGAGAATATTTGAGACATAGAAGTGAGCCAACTTTCTGAGGTGAAATACGATTATAACCAAATACTTATATTGAGCTGAGTGATAAAAAGAAGAGACAATATACACATATGATAGTCTTTGAAAAACTTTATCAACTAATATTAA